CACTCAATAAAATGACAAGTAACGGTGGGATTCAGCGGAAAAGATCTCCGCGGTTACTTAGCAAAACTGAGCGCTATATTGTGCTGGATTCTCCCATTGCATCTAAACCCAAACATTTTTGCAACAGCGCATTGCAGTCGCTCTCCTTCGCATAAAAACAAACACATTGTAATATTCCTTATTACAATAACACATGGAATAACAAAATACGGTTGTAAACAGCCCACTAGACAATCACATTGCATATGCGATATGTTCCAAGAAATTGGGGTGACCGCACATTTCTTATTTACTCGTTACAATTGTTCGGGAATTTACTATTGAATTGTTTCAACGAGCATCTGCTAGTATGCTATACAGCTTCTATACAGGTGAAGTATACATTACATAACAATATAATTGATAATAATAAAACTTTCTTTACTAACTTTATATGGTTTCCGAATAAGAAGAATATAATATTATTAAATCCGATAAAACAACACGCACAGCATCGATCGAAATGCTAATTGTAACAGTTACTTACGAGATATCAGTTTTTATGGTATATATAACGCCTACGCTGGTGAATCGTGACCTTTACATCAGTAATGTTTTGATACTATGTCAATATGACACGGACAATAATTTTAACAAAACTTTCTTTAATAATCTTAAACGGATTTCCAGTAAGAATAATACAATAAAATTACAAACTTACACGAACCTGTTTACGCTAACCAGTCTTAATTTTGAGCTGTTAAATTAAAAAAAGAGGACAGCTAGTCAAAAGCACCCACCACTACCTCTTGAGTTATAATTGTCTAACCGAATAGTAAAATATGACCGTTGCTATAATAATGCACCCACGGCCCCAAAATTCAGAGTGACTAAACCATGAACCTTCTGTTTCATGGTTTAACTACTTCACTACACCCGACACTAAATAAATCAATAGTTTAAATCGTGATAAATAATCACGCTAGACTGCCAATATCCCCCCCCCCCCACACACACACAAACACACACTTCTTCCTATTTATGAACTCATTGCGAATTACAAATCAAATATATTGACTCTTCACGGTAAATTCATTACTTATATAATTTTAAAGACATTTTATTAACAATTCTAACAAGATATGATTATACATGCCAATATATAATACTAACAGTCTTACGGAACAATTTGGTTTATCAATAGAGTTTAATTTACAATTTGCTAGAAAGTAAAACTATTTATTAGAGTCCTCTAGTATGAAACGAACTTATAATCACTAATGTTCCAAGATGGTACAATATTTTTTTTTTCGTTTGTCTCAAGTCGTCAAGAAATTAATGTCGCTTTTTTAGGTGAAAAACCCGAACAACTCGTATATCAAAACATTTATTAAATGAAAGTCTCCATTCTTATCGGCGATGCTTTTCCATCTTACAGTCAGGTTGTTAATGCCCTGATTAAAGAAAT